TGTGTGCTCGTGTGTATCTGCGTGCACGTGTGTTTATTTCTGTGTGTGAGTGAGAGAAAGAGAGAGTGAGAGAGAGAGAGAAAGAAAGATAGAGAGACACCAGTGGGTGTCTGTGCATGTGCATGATGGAGGAGAGCTGAGGGGAGACGATTTATTTTATTTTCTTGTTTTGTGTGTGAGTGCCACTGGAAGCTTGGGAGGGAGCTCATGAATACAAACTTTAAACGTGACACACACACACTATTACATGACAATACTATTTATTTAAAAAAAGTTTTGTTTTTTACTTTCATACAGAGCAATTTCTGTTTACTGCAGCATCTCTTATAAAAAGTTACTGTTATAAATATTGGCTACGTAAAATTATATATATATATATATTATAAATATATTATAAATATATATATTATAAATATTTTACAAACCCTCAAAATGAAAAAAATGATTAGAGTTTCATATGATCTTAGTATTTAATTGTGTTTCTGATTAGTTTGAAAAAAAATTAACGCAGTCTTTTAATGCAAAACAATCAATTTTCTGTAGCAAAAATACAATTTTTATATCACTGCCAAATATGAATTTGATCTTTTTACTGCTCTGGTATGAAATCTGGTGTTTGCTTTATTCCGTAGAACAGCTGAATATCTGAAGGTTCTAAAGCGGAAGTTTTGTTGAATAGGCAGGCGGTCAAATACTTTAGTGTTGCTTAGTTTGACAGAAGCCGATGATTGATGAATTAATAAGAAAATCCTTGACAAAAGTTCTTAGCAATTAATTTGTATTTGGTCTCTTTTTTCTACCTTCTGTTTGTTTTTGTAAGCCACAAGATCAAATATTTGTCACGGCTTCTTCAAATACATTTTTTTAACTTGAACTACATCATAGTCATTGAAATTTCACAAGTTTATCTCCGTTAGCGTGCATCTGTGCTGCAGGTCAGCTAAGAGGAGCAGTAAATTGAAACATTCTTCTGTTCGGTGGTTTGTAAACTAAATTTGTGTTTCCATGTACAGTCAAAAACGTACACTCCGTAAATGGAGCTGCTATGTTTAGAAATGCTGCGTTAAATTTTTCTCACTCCGCACAAAAGAACTTTGGAAAAAGTCTTCAAACGTGTTTTCCAGGTGCTAAGAATTTTGTCCTCAACTGTTCAGTTTACGTTGTATTTTTAGACGTTTGCCACCTGAATAATAAGAAAAAAGCTAAATTACAGTTTTCAGAAAAATAAAAAAACCTGGCCATCTTCTGACAAACCTGTTGTGTTCGCTCAGACTTGCCGTTTCTACAACACATAACCTGAAGTTTCCAGATGATTTTTCTTTCGAGGCCACTGACTACAATGTAAAAGCACATTAATGGAAAGGCTTCCTGCTTCCACTGAACAAATGAAAGAGCTGACTCCATCACCACTGAACACATGCACGCCAGATTTATTTTTACAGGGCACAAGCCAGATTTTTGATCGTCGTGGAAGGAGTGGCATATATTTACTGCATCCACAACAAATGTGTATGTATTCCTTTATGAGTTCTTTAGCTATTACTCACAAGGAGCTAGTTTGTCAGTGCTGTGTGTGCTCTTTCTGTGCTCTGTACTCCTGCAGTAATGAATGGTGCTGGTTAGACTATTCTGTCTCAGTCAGGCTTTTGGGGGGGCCTACAGAGAAGCTCCTATAGGGTTTCATTAATCTAGCTGTCAGAAAGTATATGGGCGCTATCTTTTGTACGGGTCAGGGTGGGCAGCTGTGCTACCACTGCCCTCTCACTTGTACAGGCTCTTCATCCCCTGACAGGGCAGTCCACAGGACGGCTGGCTGGCCGATTTTGTCGGTGTGTGTGGGTGGTGTGAAACACAGGGGGCATAATCCGTGGCACTGGGCTTTTACTGTCTGCACATAAGCCTCCTCTGTGGCAATGAATAAAACAATTGTTATCCGCAGGCCGGGAAGTTAGGGAATTCCTGGAATTTCGAACGCCATGATCTCTTGTTATGTGTGATTTTTAAGTAGGCAGAGGCGCTTTACAAAGAATCTAGGACATCAACTTTTATTATGCAGCCTCGCACTGTGCCACAGTGTTTATAAGGTGGCTGTAACGGAGATTGTGCCATTAGATATGTATCTCATCACAATGTCATGCCATCACATAATACATATTTAACTCCCAATGAAAGGAGGGCTGATTATTCTGTCATGCATTCATACATGGGCAGACAGCATTAATTCATCTGCATCCCGAGTGCTGTGTATAAATTTTCACACAACAACATGTATTAGGAGAACAAAGGAAATAGGACAATCAGAATAAAGGCTCCTTCCCTCTTTTGTATGTGTCTGAGGCACAGCTGGTAAAATTGAAAAACATAAAATCTAAAGTAATCTTTGGCGCAGATACGTCACAATAATTTGACTCTTTTTAAATCATTGTGGCAAAAAGAAATACGCCGGTCTGCTGTCACTTTCCTTTTTTATCTATAGACATTTTTTATGGTATTTTTATGATCTAAAAGACAAGATAAGAGAAAAGAAAATGGCGTCAGACACTGAACCTCATTTTAGGCTCCCTACACTTCAGTTCAGGTCACAGTAAGTGTTGGTTGCAGGCTTGTGTATTTGGTTGTGTTGCATTCTCAGTAGTTTTGCAGCTCAACCATGCACATAAATTATTAATGCTTTTTAACTGCTGTTATGCAGCTCTGATCTATAAATTTTATTCATGTGTTTCATTCCTCTGTCACTTAACTATGGATGTCCAATACGGTCCATTCATCCTGGCTGCCTGTGTGCTGCAGCCACAGCCAGGCTGCAGCACACAGGCAGATTAAACACTGTAGATTAAACGCTGAAAGACACAACTCTGAGTTTGGCTGCAAAATATGAATCTATAAATGTTGAATAGTGACAGATTCAAAATCATCCAGAATGCACAGATCCCAGGGCGGGTGTAAAAGTGAACGTGTTGCATTTTTATTTATTTTTTTTCTTTTATAGCCTGTGCTAAATCACACCTGCTCCTTGTTTGTCTACAAACGGCCACACCTAAGAGGCACTACTGTGACACGATGCTTAATAACAATCGAGCGCTCTCTCAATCTGCAGCAAAAGAGCCTAATCCACTCTGACAGAGAAAACACCTGATGGCCTTGCGTGCTGCTCCCTTGGCCAACACGTTACCGCATGGCACACACACACGCACACACACACCCACAGAAACCCACAAAGAGGCGAGGGTTTGATGCCTGCTGTGCTTAGTTAATCAGAGGAATACTACTTTAGCAAATATGAAGTGGATCTTATGTATGCTAATATAATTCACTCACTTTCTTCCTGTCAGATGTGATTAGGTCAGACCTGTATCCTTACATTGATCTCAGCTCCACACAGACATGCTGCTCACACCAGACACAATTGCAGCTTTTTTAAAATCTGTCTTGCTTTGTTTTTATCACTGACCATTTTTTTTAAACTAAAAAAAACTAGAGGAGTCCAACTTTTTCCCAAAGAAACTATAAGATCCTTGAAGATCCAATTGTTTCTCAAGAAGATACTTAAATATGAATACTCACTGCGTGCAGACTTGTGGAAATTTTTAGTATTTAGTACACAACAGTTGCCTTTGTTCAAATGGGAGTGTAACTGAACACACGCCAGCCGGTTTAAAACACTGTGTGTTTTCAAAGTTAGGTCAAAAAAAAAAAAAAGGAGATTTTAAAAATCCACACAATCAAATGATAATGGAGATGTATTTTACCCACAAAACAACTGCTAAAAAGAGTGTCATAATGGCTGCATAATTGACAGGAATTAAAATGACTGATTTTTTGGTTGATCTTGTCAGACCTGTCACAAAAAAATACATGTATAACAGGAGCCACATAATTAGTATTCCAGGGCCACAACTGGGTCAGACAGTGGCAGTGGACTCAGACTGAGGTAACCTTAAACCACAGTTGAAGCAGCCTTTTACCTCTTACTTTGTCTAATCTTTTTACTAATTTGATTTACATGAAGATGTTGCTGCCTTATAGTCACTAATAATCCATCTCATCATAATCCATAAAACCAGATCCCTGATAAAAAAGAACCTTGTACTATTAAAAAGTCCTGATGTAAAACAAATAAGTCCTGGGATCAGACAGTGTCCGGTACAAATGTGACAGGCAGTTACAGGATCTGCTCGGTGAAATGATTGCCCACACGGTCATACATTAGTCAGTGTTATAGCATAAAATTCTGCATACGGAAAGCAATTTGAACTTGGACATAATCAATCATTATTGATTGGACGCAGATTTCAAAATGGACACACTGTACACCATTACACATCCAAGGCTACAGTACAGTAATGACATTAATAGAGCAAATGCAATAATAGTTCAAATGACGGTAATCCTTGAAAGTGGGAGGGAGGAGGAGGAGGAGGGGAGCACCTCCTGCCCTCGTCCCTGTCCTAACTGCAAAGGAATATCAAGTTAAGAAATTTGTAGTGGATTTATTATAATATAATGTAATTAACTCTTTCTCTGCTGTCAGATATGATTAGCTCAGTACCATATGGTCAAATTGATTTCTGATCTACAGCTTAAAGCAAACACGCAGCTCACACCGAACGCTGCCCTGCCCGCTCGCCTGCCGCCTGCCTGCTTTTTATCTGTGTGGGTTTGTGTACATCATTTTCATGACTGAGGTCCAGAATGATGTAAGCCTGTGTTAATTCAGAGTGGACAGTGCAGGCTTTGTTCTGTGCCCTTTGGTGCTGCACCAGAGCTGGGCAGGGCAAGCTTATGTGACCTCTACCATTGTAGCGCCTGGTGAATTTGAAGCTTTGTTTTGCTGCTACAGTTTAATCAAAGGGAGAGAAGGAAAAAAAAAAAAAGGGAGAGCGGGGCCGGAAAAAGTGAAACATACTTCTGTTCACTATTAGCATATTTCTCCTTTAACTTCACGTTTGCACTTTTGGATCATTAAGTTGTTGATTTTATGTATGTATTCCTGTATCATAATGAAGATAGTACAGGTTCTATCAAAAATTATTGTGACCTACTAAAAACTTTTTTAATCACTTGAATGACTTCTGAAGCGTTTCAGAGATTTGTGAAATGAGAGGAAGGGAAAGCAGGCGCTTTGATGTTTTTGCTGCTTTTCTGTTTGTCAGTACAAAACCAGATCTAGACACAGATCTTTATGTTACCCTTAAGTAAAGATGAGATATTTGTCGAAAAAAAAAACATGCGGTTTGACTTAATCAGCGTTTTCAACGTCTCCAACAATAATCTAAAACCACAGGTATACTTAACACAGGATGAGAAGAGTCAGAACCTGCTCTGCTCTATTTCCTGACCTATTTGTGTTGTGTAAGTGGCATTATACTGTTGTACTGCAAAAGTACAGGTTTAAAAAATATAATTAGCTTTTCATCTCTGTACTGAGGTGTTTCCCAGTAATGGGTTCTCAGGTTTAAGGTTAATTTGTTTGAAAACATCCTTTGCTTTGCCTCTCGTCTACATTGACTGCGTGTGCTTTTCTATCTCTTTTAGATCTGACCTGCGACAAACAGACGTTTCATGAGAACAACATGAATCCACATCCTGTCTCGTCTGAATAACAGCAGACACTCTGCATACATCGTTCACTGCAAACCTTTGTACTTTGTCCCACATCAACCCTCCTGACCAACATACTGTATCATCAGCCAGTCCCCGAAAAAGACAGCTTCATTACCCGATCCTGCCATACAATTAGAAGCCAGATGGCACTTCTGGCCAATCAATTAATGGATGCAAGAATTCTTGGCAGTATGAATGGAAGAGTTGAGCTTTCCCAGTTCCTGCGAGTCACCAATCAAAGCATTGTCTCCCAGGTGAACTCCGCCCAAGACGACAGTCGCAAAAATCGCAAGTATCCATGTCCGCTGTGTGGCAAGCGTTTCCGCTTTAACAGCATCCTTTCCCTCCACATGCGAACACACACTGGTGAGAAGCCCTTTAAGTGTCCGTATTGTGACCATAGAGCCGCTCAGAAGGGCAACCTGAAGATACATCTGCGTACTCACAAGCAAGGCCTTCTGGGTAAAGGCCGTGGCAGGATCAGAGAGGAAAACAGGCTTCTTCATGAGCTTGAGGAAAGAGCGATCCTCAGAGACAGACAGATACGAGCCGGCCACGTCAGCCAGCCCCAAACATCCAGTTTACCCCAACTCAAAAATCCACAGCTGTCCCCGACAACTGCGGCGGCAAACCAGCTCTTAACCAACTCTGGCGTAGCAGAAACCCAGCCACATACGTCCACGTCTCCCGCAGCCACCACGGTAAACGATGAGCCCGCGCAGAACCCCACCAACGGCTTTCGCTGCTCTTTCTGTAAAGGGAAGTTTCGGAAGCAGCAAGAACTGGAGCGGCACATCAGGATCCTACACAAACCCTACAAGTGCACCTTGTGTGACTTTGCGGCGTCACAGGAGGAGGAGCTCATCGGCCACGTTGAGATCACCCACATTACCGCAGAGTCCAGCTCAGGTCCAAAACCTGCCACTGGGCCCAGTGAGAAGGGGAAACCTGCGGGTGAGTTCCCCTGTGACATCTGTGGTCAGACCTTCAGTCAGGCCTGGTTCTTGAAGGGTCACATGAGGAAACATAAGGACTCTTTCGAGCACTGCTGTCAAATCTGTGGTCGCCGTTTCAAAGAACCCTGGTTTCTCAAAAACCACATGAAGGTCCACCTTAACAAGTTAGCAGCTAAGAGCAATCTCTCCACCGACCACGACCCTTTTAAGTTGAGTAGCCTGTCGCAGGACCATCAAAGCAACCTGTACTCGCAATACATGTCCCGCATCCACAACAGATTCCTGATGAGCGAGAGAGCTGACCAGCCCGATTACAACCAGATACTCGCCACGGCAGGCGTTGACATGAAGGTTAGGGAAATGTTAGGGAGAATGATTTCCTCGGGGCCCAGCCCGCTCTCAGAGGCAGACAGCTCCTCTCTGTTAGGCCTTAACCACTTCTCCTCGCCTCTGAGTTCAACAAGCATGGAATATCTGCAGAAAGTCATGTCTAACAGAGATGCACTCAACAGCAGCAGCAGCAGCATTTACCCCGGCTGGCAGATCATGACACCAGGGATTCCCAGTGATCAGCAAATGTTCAATCCTAAAGACTTACAGCCGCAGCAGCCGCAGCAGCAGCGCTCACCCTACTTGCCTGAAAAATGTCTTCCCTCTGACGACGGGAAAGCGTGTCTCAGTGATCCCGACACCAAGGTCACCAGCAGACCTGGTAGCACCGGCAGCGTGAGTCATCCTGGGACAGCAGAGATCTTCACAGAGACAGGAAGCTCCCTCTCAAGCAGCGGCCTGGACCACAGACCCCAATCTTCATCTCCAGCTGCAGGTAACGCAGTCTGGAAACCAAATCCTGATCCAGTTCTTAGAGTGTTATTTTAGATCAAAAAGTTCTTTTTTTTTTCAGTTTTCACCTATGATATTGCTATAAAAACAACTGGACAAACTCTTTCATAGCTGTCTGGAGAGCGGTCCAGAGTTCTGGGGAAAGTCAGAAACTAGATTCTAAAGACATCAGTTACTTCTTTTTTTATACACCAGAAATAAAATATTTTTACATTTCTGCCTTTTTTGGATGTAAATGTTAGAGAGGCCTGTGTGTTTGTCATACAGTAGTACCAGGATCGTTACTTTGACTTCTTAGAAAAGACATACTAGACTCAGTGTTTCTTGTGTAGTGCAACGACAGAACACGTCATAGGAGGACACACGCTGCTGATTAAAGTGCATTCAGTGAAAATCCCATCACAGGAGACTACATTTAAATCACCTCAGTATTTTGTGTATAACTCATCCTATGTAAAATTGACAGCTTTCTCTCCCCCACCTCCCCTCTTCACCACCCCCAGCTCCACTCACCGTAGGTGGGCCCTAAAGAGCGGGGTCAGCAACACCACCACAGACATTACTGTCATCCACCAGGACTTTGTCTTCCTTTTAAAGCTAATGGCATCATGTTGAATTGTGGGGATAATTAGTACCTTCTATTTTATATCTGTCACATCTCCACCCCTTGCCTACAGGGGCACAAGATGTTAATGCATGCCATCTGGTGTTTTTAATGATTTGATATATACCACCCAGTGATTTTTATGATTTGATCTACCACCTGGTATTTTTATTGATAGTCTTCTGTTCCACCTGGTGATTTGGATGATTTGGCTCTCTGGGTAAATGCCTTGTTTGTCGTGGCATCCTGCTAACATGTTATCATGAGCCTAAATCACTGATACAACAGCGTTGTTAAGAGAAGATAGAAGAAATAAAAAAAAAACAAACCCAAAACTTTTGTTCAGTTTCTCGGCAGCTCATGACTACAGTTATTTTCCTACCATTGTTATGTACATCAGGTCTGATGCTCTCCTTAGGGACTGGATCAACTCCCCTCTTAAAATATAGCCGTATAGCAGAGATAAATGGATCAAGCCTAATCTCATTAGATGTTTTGTTTTAAATTTTGCACACATACTAGTATCTGCGTATTTTCATACAAACGGTTTGCCGTCGATGGCCAAATCCCTCTCTGTGCGCTCTTATGATACATATTCAAACCCTGTTGTTTTTTTTGTTTTAACTTCCACTCTTCTCCCCTATCTTCAAGACCATACGGTGTCACTTCCAGAAACATTTATGAAAGCTGGCTTGCAGAGGATTTGAGTGTGCACAGTTCTGGGATGACACATTCTGTATCAGACTCTAATTTCAGTCAATATTAAGCATGGAAACTAATTCATTGTAAAGGTCAGGCGTCATTGCTTTAGTCAATGATGGATCCGGCAGGCTCCCTCTCTCTCCCTCTCTCTCCTCCTCTCCTCTCTGTTCTTAGTCCTGTGTAATGGTAGACTCACTCTGGGGGCTTAGCACCGCATTGTTTAGCTCTGACAATATATCCCAGAGACCTCTGCAGCTGCTCCCTGCGCTCACAATGACAGATTAATTAACACAATCACACGCTGCTGGCCCTGGCTCAACACACAGGTCTGCTGCGGGACAGATAGGTAAATCCTACACATATGGAGAACACGCACCACTTGATGAGAGTTTAATAACAGGGATAAGTTTTTTTTCAGAGCCGGGCTTGTAACTGATCAAGTCTGTCTGTCTGGATGGCTGAATGTGGAGGGGAAGAGAGTGAGAGAGCGAGTGTTTTCTAATTCAGGGGAGCGGAGATGCATGAGGAAGAATTACCATTGCCAGATGTTCAGCTTGAGGAACATTGATTAGTCCAGAATTACAGGCTGCATTATTCATAGTCAGCCTATGGTGGTCATGAAGTTATTGATGTCCTCAATATGGATGGCAAATATAGTACAGTCGTGGCTGTCAGGGTGAGAGACGGCTCCTTTGCCTGATTCATCCAGATACAGTGCTGGATTTATATATATTTATATATATATGTTTTTTTTTTAAAAAAAACCCCCACAAATGTCCAACATCTTGACTGAAAAACCCTGCTTTGATTTCTACAGATGGGGAAATGCTGCAAATTACTTCTTTCAATATCTAATCAAGACAGATGCACTCTGACTTTAATGGTAATCTCAGATTAAGAAAAATGCATCTTCTTGAAATGATAAACTAAGGAAGAGTGCACGCTGCGGGCCTCTGACCTACATTGGACCAGTTAGATTCCAGCTTCGAGCGAAAAAAACATGCCCAAACATAAAATGCTCTGACAGTTATTAATTAGTCCCATTCAATACTCTTAACCTCAAGGTCAATGAGCAGACACCATGTAGTGATGTTGCCCCTGCGTGTGTTTTGTCCCTGCGTCCATTTTTGTCCCTGCTTTTACGCTTCTTTTTTAGTAGTCAGGCCAAGAGAGCCACAAACGATCAGCGTCTTTAAAAGTGTAAACGTTGGAATCAGCACCGGTTTGTAAAGAAGCACAGACACGGCTCCTGTGGACCATATCACTTTCATTTGGCTGTTCCAGTTACATCGCTCTTTTTCTTTTTTTTTGATTGCTGACAGTAGAGCTTCTTTTAACTAAACAGCCTCTTATCATACACACTCCTGTGTCTGCCTTCACAAATTCCCCTCTTATTCTCTCAGTCGGTCGGACTGGTTTGTGTTCCGCTGATTACCTGTTGGCTTTTCTGTCTCCTTCTCACTTCTGTCTTTTAATCCTCTTTTTAATTATTATTGCAGATATGAGGCTCAAATTAAGCTCAAAATGCTTGTTTTCCTAGCATGCAGATAAAAAGATTTACCCAGGGAGTTCTGAACACCTGCCTTGAAATATTGTTCCTCCGTCTCCTGAATGCCATTTGGCTTAATTGACTTGGAAACGTCCCAAATGCGTCATTGACTATGTGGTCTAATTAATATTAATAATATATGCTATTATAAACATCAAAGAACATCTGGTGCCCCTGTTTTTCTCACCAGTCTCGTGTGTGTGTGTGACTCTCACTCTCTCCGTTTCATCTAAAAGCAAAACAGCCTCCATGTATCTGTGCTTTGCATTTCAGGTGCCTGATTGCTTATATACGTGGAGAGAGCCAAACCTCCACTGTATGTGGAGTTTGATATCTACACTATAACTGCCAAACGCCTATGTAAGCACACGGTGTGTGAGCCTGTGATTGCGTCGACGCTGATGTATGGTTGTAAATCTCGCAGCCCATTTCCATATGAAATGAATCACTTGTCCAAAAAACCCAGCTGCGTGCTCTTTGCACAGACACAGCTCACTTGAGCCATTTATTTATTTACCTTTTTCCTGCACCTCTCACATGCGGTAAGAGTGGATAACTCATACGCATCACTTCATTAGATGCTCTGTGTTAGGTGAGAGAGGCTCGGGACTGTAATGATGCAGTAATTGGAGTTTTGCTTGATAAATCTAAGCTCTAAAATTACTCTGCTCACATAATGTGAGCCTCGGCAGTGTAAGTAAATCTTAAACTGATTAAGTTAGCATGAACCAGGCAATCACAAAGATGGCACCCATCCAAAGCAAGAGAAAAAAGGCAGAGTCTTCGGGCTTTGTGTTGTTGTGCCGCTCTTATGTAGGCTGGCAAATGGGTTTAGGAGGAACCACGCTGAAAGATGAGGTCAGATCAGTGTGTTTTCTGCATTTGAGGCTGCTCTGTAATGTCATCGTAATTAAAGCCACAGAATAATTGAGATATATAGCATGTCTGAGTTCCATTAAGCCGTTTGAATTTTTTTGTCTCTTACTGGAGACAAGGGTGTGGCACTGTTGAAGTCTCTTTCCCGCTCTTGTAATGTATGCAGACATTAAATCAAACTGTATACTGTACACACACACACTCGATACACACACACACACACACACTCGATACACACACTGCAATGCACAACAAACAGTCTTGATCAGTCAAGGTCATGATTTTCCTTTGAGCTTTGATTTTCATTGCCCTAAGTTTCACCACCATCAAAATAATCCTGTGTGATATTTAACATTTTTTAAATGAAATATTGACAAAAACAAAAAACAAAAAAAAGCCACAGTCCTTTTTTTCATCAGCATTCAACTCACAATAGTGGTTTTTCAATTAAAGTGTGAAACAACGTAAAGTAACAACTGCAGATCATTAGATTTGGATTTACCTCAGTGAATTACCTCGGGGTCAGATCTTGAGGTGTATGAAATTGATATTTCTCTGGCGAGGATGAATCACTGTTGTAACTCAGATATTAGTCCATTAAAGAAGAACAATAAGGCATCAATATGCATAGAATTAAATTAATGGTGGTGGGTTTATCTTCCTATCCCAGACGCATCCCTAAAAGACACAGTATAATGTATGACCTGACCTTCAAATGCCAGGAGAGTGTTGGGCAATAAACTGCCAATATTTGTGGCTTAATGGCGTCGGATGACTTTTACTGTAATTGGAATGGCAGCGAAACAGCTGGGCTATTTAAAGACAGTGCAAGGCTGAGGTCCCAGGCAATCACTAACTCAAAATGGTCACAGGGAGTGTGTTTAACCCTGGAGGCTGTTTGTGTGATAACTATAAGGATTAAACTGTAGGTAAACAGAGGGAAAAAGACAGCTAAATTACCTTTAATTAAAAGTAATGGTGTGCAGGATCATATCTTTTATCCAGATGGATATTATTTACCAGCTTAAAGCAGAAAAATTACCCTTTGTCGTGCCACAATGATGCACTTTGTACTTTTTGAGCGATGTCCTCATCACTACCATTCTTCAAATATGAAGCAAAAATAAACTCAACCGGGGAACATGGTGCAGTTAATCAGAGCCGCTCACATGTTGGACTTTGTTATTCTTGACTGGGAAACCCACTCACTGGTTTTGATGGAATGAGGTTTTTGCCTGCAACATCTGCCTTGCTCTGGTTGCCGTACAATTTCCAGTGTTTATTATTTCTGGAAGAATCTTGTTTGGTGTTAACATCTTTGGGTGTATTTATTGCACATGGTGGTGGCGTCCATACTGTAAAATGATGGATCACTGGAGCTGAAAGCTGATTACAAGCTTGATTTACTGCAGGGCAGTGCTTAAATCATTCAGCTCAGCCTGGTGTGGGATTGCAGCATTTTTCATGTTTAGACAACAGTTGTTGGTACATAGTTCTAAAACAGAATGCTCTCACTGTGGGTGTGTGTGTTTAATATATATGCATGCTCATTGTTTCCTAAATTGATTTGGATTGTGTTTTGTTTTGCTCTTATTGTGTGTGTTGGCTGGAGAAGTCTACAGGTGTCCAGGCTCCAGTGACTCCACCACTGCACAGGCTGACACACATTGTTTCCCACATTGATTTGGACTGTATTGTGTGTTGCTGTCACTTTTCTATGTTAGGTGAAAAAGTCTACAGGTGTCCGGTCTCCAGTGACTACTCCGCGGCACAGACGGCCTCCCTCGGCTTCCATATGGACCGCTACAACTTCCCCCACTGGCAGAGCAGCAGGGATCTTTCCTCTCCGCTGCAGCCCAGCGGCAGCAGCAGCAACTCCAGCCCAAACACCAAACTCAGACCCAGATCCAGAGAAGACTGGAGCCCAGCTGCAGGTCACTACCTCGGTCTGGAGAACCACGCTGACAACCCCCTGCTCCTCAACAAGCAGACCGATGTCACCGACAAGGACTCGGGTGTGGACAGCTCTCCGGCTAAGACCGCTAAGACCAGGAAGTCCCAGTATGAGCCCTTAGATTTGTCCGTCAGACCCGAGGCGGCCATGTCTCATTCGGCCATGTCTCATTCGGCCATGTCTCCTGGCGTAGTGGCTCAGATGGCTGACATCATTAGTAATGGACTGCCCTCCTCCATTACCCAGCAGTCACAGAGTTATGCTGAACTCATTTTACCACCTGCATATCAGGGTGACCTTTTAACCAAGGGAACAAAAGAAGAGAGCAACACTGAGAAAGAAGCCTCCACTTGCAACAGTGTCAAAAAAGAACTAGAGAAATCAGAGCAGGGGAGGGAGGAGGAAATGGACGATGTTGCCAAGTGGCAGATTCTAAAAAATAACATCTTGGAGCAGGAAGAGGTGGGTCACGCCAACAGTGACTACCAGGGTCTGGGTGAGAAACTAGACAAGTCAGGCCAGTGGGGCAGAGGTGTTGCTGAATTTCCCATTTCCTCTCTTGAGAGTCTAACTCCAGGACAAGCTGATCCTCTCCAGTACCAGAGCGGCCTGCTCTCCTTCTTTAGATCCCAGGGGAACCTGAGTACTGCACCTGCCCGAGTACACAAAGACATCCTGAATGGTGGGGGGAATTTGGAGAACGATGTTGCATCAGGTGAGCTCACAAAATCCTTTATGTTAAATGTTGCTGTCACTGTTAACAAGATGAAGGCGCCAGGCGAGGGATGTACATTTGAAAGTATCTATTGCCACCTAGTGGACAAAGATCGTTCCTTAAAGAAGATTCCAGATTACAGTTACAATATGAGCCAAGCCACAGTTCTATATATAAAATGCAGTTTGTTTCCAACGTGTGACATTGTCAGTGACACGAAGGCTGCTATAGAAATCCAAAAAAAGTTTTTGGCATGTCTCAGGCCTCATCACCTGACAGCGGAAGTGTGAAGAGCGAGTGTGAGTGTGTGAATGAATCATGCCAATTACGAACAACACTCCTCTCTTACACTTACAGCACTCTAGGTTTTTTTTTCCCTTCTCCGTGCCAGATCTAATCTCTGATCTCGAATAAGAGCTAAAGAAGACACAGGTGTGTGGCACTGATTACTCGTTCACTTTAAAGGACAATAATATCCTTGTGTGATAGGTTACAAATCAGCCAAGCCAGTGGAACCCAGTGATAGAGAGGCTTAAGCTAAGTACTGGTGTGATATGCTTGCTGAGTGCAGATTTAATAATGCTGTCTCTCAGGAGAGGGAATCCAACAGCTGGGGTCTTTGATATGCATGTATTATGAGTGCAACATGATACACCTTCCCTCTGATCCCCCTCTTTTTCAGAAACCCAATATGTTCATGTGAAAGACAGGAAAGTGCCTGTCAACTCCATTAGGGATTAACATCTGTTCTCTTTCTTTGTGATTCCAAAAGCAAGATGTAGTTTTGTGTTTGGTTGTACAGATGGTTATTATAATATTCCAAAAAGAAGTGCCTACTTTTCAACTTCTGTCACAGTTGTCAGACTGCTGGATTTAAAATCAGAACTTGCTGCCAGTTTTTTTTTTTTTTTTAGGTTGCACTCTTAGAGAACTTTTCATATTTCTTTGAAAAGCAAAGTTCAGTTGACAAATCCCTATACCTACAAATCATTCTTTCATCTTCCTAAGATTCATCCTCTATGTTTCAAACACAAGGTCGGAGGGCTGGATGAAGCACGTCAAATAATTCTACCTGGCCCGCGAAAGTTTAACCAGCCTGTATTTGCCTTCTTATTAAAATGGGTTACATTTTAGAACCATTATTAACCATAAATAAAGTGAAGTGATGTCATCCTGCCACTAGAACGTGATATTATGACAGTGGTGTGATTTTCCAGCAAATTCAGACTAATCTATAAATAACCCCAGTCGTCCAGGAAATTGAAAATTAATTGCAGAAAAAAAAGGCAGTTTAAAAAAGAAAAGGAACATGAATATGTGCAACAGGAAGGACAGTATGGTTTTGATTAGGTATTAAAAATAAAATTAAAGCCAACAACACATTCTCATTTTTACATTACTTTTAGAATGTTTTGTTTTACCTCTGTATATACCACAAATGTCACCTTTGTGTCACTCACCCTAAGGAGTAATTTTAGGCACTGCTCCATTTTTTCAATGATTCACCGTATTTATTCTCTACTCAAAGAGGCAGATGTCAAAGACACAATAAACACCTGTCAGTCAAAGCAGTCATGGAGGGAGGGAGCTGACATGCGAGTCTATTGAGTGTCCTCTAAAAGTGAAATAAGCAGGTGGCCCAGCAGCCTGTCCTGTCTGCAGTGTTGACCAGGTGGCTTTGTCATGGGGCTGTCTCCTGTTGCCCCCATCCTCTCCATACTGTATGGCACGTCCAGTGGAATGGTGACATATTGCCGGGCAGTTTGGACATGGAGTGATGTGTTTGTGATGACAGTTTAGGTCAGCTCCAATGTGCCAGCAGTGGTAATTGGCCAGATGGTGACCTCTGGTTGAACCTGTCTGCATGCTCATTAGTCTCACTGAACTCTCCCTTGTGTTTTGAACGCAGTCTCTCCTTACGGCACTGCTCAGATTCAACCACTAGATGTCAACATGCACCACCGAAAAACTCAAAGCTGCTGGTTTCAAAGTATTTCTTCACAAGCGTTTAGACTCTGCTTCCATAGTTCACACTTAACACAACTGTTTTTCAGCCACGTTAAACTGCAGATGCCCCGAGGGTGTACGTGTTATCTGCCCTAATCTGCCCTTAATGCAGTTAACCAGTTAAGTAAACTGGCTGTTTTTTTTCCCCGACGACATTAGATCATGCCTCCTGGACATGTGAATATGAGAAGATCGATATAGAAAGAATTAAAGATGAATAACCACTGAGGACAGAGGCTCCTGATTTGAAAGGTTCAAAGGGGTGAGTCGTTATCTCATTGTCTGACCTCTGTGCGCCCTCCACAGAGAGGGTGACAGAGAGCCAGAGAAAAGAAGAGAAAAGAGGAGTGAGAAGGATCAGCATAGATGGAGATAGATGGAGCGACAGCGAGGTGAAAGAGGAGCAGTAGTGTGGCTGTCTCCATGAGCAGATGTCGTTTGAGGGCAGCGAAAGGGCAGCGCGGCCTGCCTTTGTGCCGTGCCTCTCCCCGTAGAGATAATGAAGGGTGGAGCTTTGGGAAGGATGTGCAGTCATCACTCACTGTCTGTGTGCCATCAGAGCTCAGGTCTGTGTCATCCTTCACCATTCAGCTCCTCTGGCCCCCAACGGCCCCGCCACTGTCATCATGGTCATTATGTCAGCCAGTGACACACAACACACACACACACACAAACCCAAACGCACAGGTTTATCAAATTTCACATTTCTTTGATTTAGTAAATATCAGAAAAAGGATTAGAGTTACAAATAATTGGCCTCCATAATATTTCAGTAAGGTTATGCATTTCATCTGTAGTTTAGAGAGAGATAGGAATTATGCTCAATTCAACTTCAGGAACAAAACTCCGAGGTTCGCAGACTGTTTATGGCCCTCAGATTCCCTGCTCACTAAGTGATCTCTAATTTGTTCATCCATCAGCCAAAAGACACACATTGTTTCCCAGTGACTGAGAAAAAAGTCCAGGAAGTTGTCATGTGTCATGTAAACAAATACAACTTAGCATCGTCTTCCCAGTGAGTTGTTGATGATCATCTGCATATCATGACTATTGTTTCTGGTAGGGGTTAAGATAAAAAAAAGGTCTGAATTAGCATGTCCACCCATGTCCGTCCACCACAGCTGACTGTTTCTTCAACCATTCCAAGTCTACCAAACAGTATACTATTTAGATTTGTGTCCCTCTGAACTATAACCGTCTTTTCTTGTCTAGACCTAATGATCATAGCCTTAAGACACTGTATACTTAAGCACAAGTTGTTTTTCTACGACAGTGAGTTCAGTGAGTAAACCTGTCTTTCGTTCTTGTCATCGTCCTGTTGTCATCAGTGTTTTGACTCAGAGTGAATTTTCCATGTCTCAGACTTCCTGGACACTGCTGTGTGAACTCTACATTATACTTACTTAGCTTTTATCATGTACATGATACAGCCAAACCCTTGTTAATGTAGCATTGCTTTGCCAGGGCATACAAGTAAAACATAACATAATATTTCACCCAATCTTAATTTAGGTGGAATTAAAAACTAATTCAATTGTTATAACCTTTACTTTTACGCTTCATTAATGTTCATAAGACATATTTATTCAGCGATGATGCTTTAAAATAAACCAAAGTGCTTTAAAAATA